TCAAAACTCTAAGCTATCTTCAACTTAAAAAAAAAGAATGTTTTGTTTGTATAATATAAGATGTTAAAAAATTCGAGAACTGTAGCTAAAAGTTTACTTTTAGAGAGTTAACTAACATCAAATTGAGGGACAGTTCCGTATGAAGTGTCTAAATGTTGAATATTGTTACACAGCAAATGTTAACTGGGTAAGTAATACGACAGAATTTACAGTTCTTTGTTTGCCAAAGAAGCTACACCAGAAACAAAAAGTTAATATTGTGAAAACGCAAGCGTTGTCAATTCTCTCCAATAGATATGGGGCTATATTTGTGTTTTGTGAAATATGGAAATCATGATTCGTTAAAATTTTAAAAGCTAGAAGTCTTAAGATCCAGTGCTCTTTTCTTCTTTTTTATTTCGGCGCGAAAAAAGATTCATGCAAATTGGTAATAGCTGCGCCTTGAAAAGCACTTCAGATATTATGAGCTGCATCAGAATTCTGCGAAGTCTCCGAGTAAAAAGAATAGAACTCTAGGAGGGGAGAATGATTAGGTGGCACACCGCCCTTGAAGTGGGTTCAATGTGTCACAGTGTTTCGAGAGTAATGTTATTTGTACGTTTCGTTCTTTTTTTTCGTTTCTAAACTTTATTAACTTAATTAGCCTGCATGACTGAAGGCTGCGAATCACAAATTAAATTAAAATCTACCAGGTAGAATTAATAGTTAAACCGTTAGTTATCGATTTCTAGTAAATTTAGCCCACTAAATATTTCTTTATACTTGTGCCCTGATATCCGCCGTGATCAAGAACTTTATTCTTCAAGAAAATATTTATTTCCAAGTGAACTTCCTGTTTTAAATATTTTCTATCTTAAAAAAAACAAAGAAACAAAACAACATCATAGATATGGCGCATATCTTAACCGACCGAGGTTAGGAAGTTTTGTTTCACGCCGTTCTCAACTTTGACCGTATATTTTGCTGTAGAATCAACAAACTCTCCCCTTTAATCGATTTTATAGGAAATGTACAATTTGTGAGGGTACTCAGGGTATCGCTATATCTGCTTAATATCCACATATCGTGGGCATAACCGTCCCCCTGTGTGACTGAAATTTTTAGTTCTTAGGCATCCGGCATTCCTCCCAACGCGTCGTTGCTCTTATCAATGGCGCGGTCCTTTATCTCTTTTTCTTTTTATATGCCTCTTCTAAACACTGCGAATCCAGAAGCCAAGAAACGTTGACGGCGGGTTTTTCTTGTCGTACTTCTATTTCTTTCATGTAGCTTCAACGACTTCTTCTGTTTGTTACGTTTTAGTGCTGCCGTTTTCAGCCGTTTGGTGCTGGGGCATTGAACCAAAGAACAGAGTAATTTAAAAAAGTTTTAGAAGTTAAACGAGTTGAGTAAGAAATATGACTGCGGTACGTAAATTACTACGCAAAGCGCATTCTAAGCGCATCTATAATGTAGATAAAAGCGGTCCGTAGTCACCTGGTGAGATAGATTATATACCGGGTGCATTTTTGCACCGCACACACCGAAGATGATGAATGCGACAGATCATACGCCAAAAGCGGAAAATGTTCGAGCGGTTACTTTACTCGAACCATAAATTCTAACGCGCATTCTTTTTTTTTTTCTTTCCTTGTTACAGTTTGACGTGTATTTGAATTTTCACGAATGAAGCCCCTTAGGGAGGTAGAGACGAAAGGAATATCTGCTACGGAGGCAGATCTATCCCCAGTAGTTTATAACAAGTACGCACAATTGTATAAAAATAAAAGTACAGGGAAAAAAAATGTCTGACAGATTTATGCGTACTAAAAATGAACATTTATGTAAGAAAAAAAAAAAAAGAAACCTTAGAGCAGGCTCAATGAAAAGTCATTGTAGCTATTTTGTATCTCAAAAGAACAGCAGAAAAAAAAGGTAATTGCACAAAACAAAACAATCCTGTTAATATATGGTCAAGAAAGAATTGTTAAAGTCTAATAAATATTGGCGCATCACTGTTGTGAATACAAAAATACTATCTGTCGACTACGAATGTTTGATGTGCAAACAATAAGCACGGAACAAACGTATAAGAATGCGTGTGACTGGAAGATACCTCCCAAACAAAAGAAGCTTGAGCACTCGATGTGATCTATATATTGCAGATTACGAATATTGGAACCTAAGTCTCGCGTTCCAGCCCTAGTTTGATCTGAAGCTTCTGGAAAGAGGATAGGTACGCCTAAAGCCCCTCAATGGGTTTGCGTCTGTCTTGCAAGTAGCGTCAAATGCGCCAACGCGCGAGGCCCGTGTCTCGAGCAGCCCTTGGAAGCAAATGGCGGCGCAGCACTGAAATGAGCGACCATTGGAAGCTAATGGCGGCGGTGCACCCACTCCTGGCACGTGTCTTGCACGTTCCTACAACAATGGTTGGCGTTACTTGAAAGCGTAAATTTTATCAAGGGGCTTTAGGTACGCCAATACATTATAGAGGGAGTTGCTCATGATGATATTTTCTGCGATAGTACGCTATAAGTAAGACTTTATAGCCCGAAGTTTAGCCAAGGAGCGTGTTTTCGATCAAAACAATATTGAAACAGGGTCGTGGAAACATTAGAAAAAAAAAACAAAAAAAAAAAAACGAAGTGACTGCATTGGTTTTATTAAATAGCTGCAAATAAGTCGCATTCAAACGTTGAAAGAAAATAGATTTTTTTCATTTAGTTCGTCCTCCCAGTTTATCAACCTGATCCGATAAGTCACTATCTTTCGTATAATTTGCAGTCAATTACTTTAATAGCGTCAGAGGGCCGTATACCTCGAGCCCGCACGTCACACCGAGAGCGCCGACGGAAGAGCGCGCCACACGAGCGCACCGGGACACGAGAACGGTGCATGTGCGCGCTGTGGAATGTTCTGAGTATTGTATTCGCGATTATACAGCCACCTAAGCTCCCACTATAGACCCTTTTCAAGAAGCACCCCCAGCAACACTGGTGGTCGCCATTGTTGTGAGCACGAGGCGTTCGATTAGATCCGAGCTTTCACCGAACTCTGACACAGATCTCGTGTCCAATACAGGCTCAGAGAACGTGCCCCCCTAATGGCGGACTCGAATAACTCATGTAGTAGCTACTAGATGGCGCCCACTTTTAAGGAAATGGGCTATTTAATAGCGATGTACTCTCGGAAAAAACGGGTATATTCCTGCGCCCCCTTGTCTCATATAAGACAGCCCAAAACTTCAGTTCAACGGTCAGCGCGCTGACGTCATACATACAACTTATTAAAATAGCTAATGTACGTGTTACTGACTAAAAAGAAAGTGATCGGGGTTTTCTTAGCCCTACGGCAACACCTCAGTATTTTTTTTCTGTAGTCTTCGATACGTAGTTTATCTGTTTAATGAGGTATATCTCACTGTTATCAAGCCCCTCCGAAAAGTTTGCGGCGTCTGTTCGTGGTCGGTGCGCTGTACGTCGAGCTGAAGTTTTGGGGCGCGTTATACGGGACAAAAGGTGTAAGATGAGCCCTTTTTTTTAGAGAGAGAGAGTGGGGAAGTGTCTAAGAGGTCGGGTTTCGCCGGGTCAACTGAATTGATGAGACAGTTCTGTGCGCGTTCTTCTCAGAAACTGTGTCACTGTGATATTAGAAACTGTAGGTATACGTACAAAAATGCAGAAACAATTTTTGTTTTATTATTTAGATTTGATTTAGGGGGTATTTCCCGCCGATTCCAAGTACGGATTGAAAATACTCACAAAAGTAACTCCCTAGGCTGTGACCATCGCCAGATTTTGACACCAAGCAAATAGCGAAATTTGGCTATTAATAGTGCTATCTTTTAAACCTTTCACGGCACCAACAGGAGAAGGCAAAAAAAAAAAAAAAATCCTGGTTTAAAATGATTTTGTACAAAACAGTCCCGGACAGATTCGGGCACCGAAATGAATCTTAGAGGTATATGTTCGGTTCGGCCGTCTTTCTAACGCGTTGTACGATTGGGTCGTACACGTGGTTTATATCGCCAGTCAAAATATTTCTCGCTTTCCTGGCGCGGGCTTAATCGGTTTCGCGCTCTCGCGTCGTGCGCCCTCCCGTCGGCCCTCTCGTGTCGTGTAGTTTCGAAACGTCTTCCTTCAATTACCAAAAAAAAAAAAAAAAAAAAAAATCGCATATAAAAGATGGCGATAAATATTACGCGAAATTTAATCACCGACGAGGAACTTATAAAGTTGATACTAACCTTCTGTGTGAGCGAATAATACGAAGTATGAATAAAAATTCTAAATTGATCTTTATTTTTTGTGCTTTCCGCAAGTCCCGAATAAGCCGAAAAACGTCACTCTGAGGAATATCGTTATTTTGATAAAAATTTCCAGATAGTGACAACAGTTATTATATAGCGTAAAATAAATAAATTTTACGTCCTGTCTAGATAATTGGGCTTAATCTTCATAAAGTTAATGGTCATAACCATCGAGGGTCTTGGATGACCTTCCCGTTTTTATTTAAATATCCAACGTGTTCCTAAAAAAAAGAAGGAAAATTATTGTACGTCTTAATGTGAGAGTTTTGAAGACATATCGGTCACGTTCATGAAAGTGGGGGCACTCGGAAATCTATGTAAGCGGCGACACTCTAATAGTACTAGCGTTACGATACGCCCAAGTAGTTAGAAACAGTTGCAGTTCTTAAGCTGAAAAGAAATCACGGCCAACTTTACAGTGCACGTATAGATTTTCTTTAGAAGGTCACAATTCGGTTTAAGTACCGTAGGGAAAGTGCAGCCCGTATGAAGGAAACGCACACCATGGATATGCTCGCCTCTCCTCAGAAGGTTTGGCCTGCGTTGCATCTTTCACGGCCATTGCATCTGTGTGACGTCAACGTCAATGCATCCGAATTAAATATGCCTTTGCGAAACGCGTAACCTCGTCCACTTGCAGTGACTTGGAGGAGAGCCGAATATGGCTGGTGGCATCGAATTACACACTCGAGCCAAGGGCCCTTCGACTTGCCTATTTTGATGACTTCGGGAAAGGCCAGAGTGTTGCGGGTGAGGCCTGCGGCGACAACGAACAGCAAGATTGTAACTCCGGCAGCCATGGCGGGGCGTTGATATTGTCGGCCTCTTCACCGTTCTGCACCGTGCAAAAAACGACGCGCGAAGCCCATGTCTTCTAGATGCCGGGACGTAAACCCCGGAGGCGAGCTGCCGGTCCTTGTTCTATTCGCGTCTCGGGTGAGAGGGGGTGAGGTGGAGGGCGGAGTCTGCCTTGGCTGGGGCCGTCTACCAAACTGAAACTATGGCCTTCGGAAGGAAGGAGTTGAGGGGTGCGTGATGCTGAAGCATAGCGGTCTGTCAGGCTCGCCACGTTGTTTGAATCAGTCAGTCAAGTTTAGTTTTTCGTTCGGATTCGGCGGTGGGAAAAGCAAGAGTAAATGGGTGGTTTCATTTGAATTCGGCCAAGATTGTCCGGGGGGAGGGGAGCGGGAGGGGAGGGTGTACAGATAAAAAAAAAAATGTACGGTAATAGCTTAAAGTTCTAGGATAAACGAATAGGCACTTTAAAATATTCAAACTCAGTGGCACCTTGTGAAATACCTCAATTACTCGATTTGATTTTTTCCCGCAAATTTGGCCGTTGTTGAGAAACTGCTGAGTTTCTTCAGAATGCAAATATTTTTCAACTTTTAAAGACGATTACGAACTACGTTTGAAAAAAAAAAAAAAAGGTTTATTTTTAGCGTGTATGGTTATTTATTTTACAAAAATCGAGATCTTGTTATCCCGAGAAATTTTGCCTCAAATTCAGATTGCCATAGAAACTGAGCCGATATGAACTAAGACATAGAGCCACCATCAGTGTGTAGCCTCAAACATAAGCTTTCTGAAGATATATTGCTTCTGTAAGGGGGTTTTATGAAGCTACTTATATCTTACTCCAAACTTGATCGAACACTAAAAGTTTTACAGACTTAAGGTAAATTTTTGTTGAAAAGGCCAGTTTCATTTATTTTAAAAATAAATTTGTGTAAGTAGTGCTAACCTTAACATTCACGGCAAATAAGTATTGGTTGACGTTTTTTTTTTTTTTTTTTTCGTTGTTGTGTTTCTAAGACAACCAGCTCAAAATGGCTAATTTTTTTTTCTTTAAAGGTATGAAAAACCTAAATCCTTCACACATTCAAGCTTAAGTTTCTATAAAAATTCAATATTTGTTTTCTTTGAACTTATTGGTGGATTGCCTTTAAGATACAATATCACTGAAATTGAATACTGCTTTACCTCCTTCTGTTATATTGTCTGGACAACAAGTTAAATGAGTTGCCCTCTTACTTGACTCACAATCTTCGGCTGGGGAATGCTTACTTTATCGCAACGTTCTTGGTAAGTCCATTGATAACAGATGTAAAAAAAAAAAACGACCTTGTCATGATGTTTTCACTATTTTATCGTTGTTACAATATCAGGAGTTGTCCCAAAATGTATCCCCTAGCTAGAATGAACAACTCGCCTCAAATAAGTCGCCTCTAATCACAGACCGTAACGGGTCAGTCTTCGTGCTTCCAACTCTTTTAGGAGAGTATATGTTTTTATCAGAATAATTGCTAAAGTGCCATGTGACAACGATAAATGCATAAAACAAACTAAACACTAATGAATCAATTTAACCAATGCAGCAGGTCAGCACACGAGTTATGACCGTGCGCCATTGGCGCCCGTCGGATTGAGCATTCAATGTGAAATTGTTTAAACAAGCTTTTATAACCTTTTTTTCTGAAATATACGACACACACTTTAGATATTATTTGGCAAGCCACAAACTGGCTGCACTCTGGAGCTCTACTTCAGAGTGCAGCATGACTCTTTTTGGTCACTGATCATTTAAGAAGCCTAGTATAATCAATGGCAGAACGAGTGCGACAGGGTGTTTCTTTCGAACGTCCAGCCTTTAGCACGCTCTTTAGGCTTGCTTTGGCTGCGCGCACTTGCTCCAGATTCACTAGACGCTTAAGCGTTGTCGAAGCCAGGATGATCGCACTGGAGTAGGGACAACGGAAGCTACCTCCTGCCGTTCTTATCTTGTCAACGACGATGCTTGGAACATCGGTGGGTTTTTGAAAGGCAATTCGGGTTTATCTCTGTTATCGGAGGTACGCCTAACACAAATGTTTAACGCAGCTGCCGAACATGGCACTATTTCACCAGCAACTATATTACTTTGGGCTAACTCGATAGAGGATAATCAGTGGTAAAATCTAAGCCTTACTTTTCTTGAACGAGCCGGAAACGAACAGTCTTCCGGTAAGCGAATGCCACAACGCTGTTAAACTGTAAAGATTTTTTATTTAAATAACTAAATGGTTCGCTAAACAAGACAGACATTTACGAGTGTATCAAAGCTGGAACCGAGAGCCGCCTGCCTACATCTGTAGAAAAAATTCACGGAGAGATTGGCCCAGGAGATTCCTGAATGCAGAGAAGCGGCCATCCTGATCAGAATAATGGGCAGGAGGCAGGCGAGTCTGTGCAGAGCATCTGATTGGGATTAAATTGACGATGCCAAATTAGTCCGCAGCTGTCCAAAGTTTGTTCACACAGTTGACAGCCCTAACACCGCATATCGCCCATGCAGTGACTTTATCCAACATAGCGCCGCTGACCACTTTTGGATGAACGTATAGACACGGTCTTTACATGCTTCCTTTCACACTTTCAATTATTTCTAAACCATGGGAGTTCTGGCTATATTGCAGCCGCGGTTGAAATCAAGCAAGACGTTAAAAAAACAAAAAAAACAAAAAAAAAAACAAAGAACAATTGCTATCTGTAAGGTCGGACCACCAGCCGGACGTCGCACGACCTGTGCTCGAAAACAGTCTTAAAGAGCGACTCCGGTCGCAAACGAAACCGAAATAAATGACTGGCACTTTAGTGAGGCTGAACATGATCAAAGCCGAAATATTACGTCAAAGTAAAGGCGCGTACTCCATTAAAACCCACTTTAAAGATGCGACCGACTGCTCTTTATCAGGTTGCAAGTGGGTTAGATTTTAGTCAATCAGCACTGAGCGAAGCGTACCGCAGCACCACCGTGACATCACGTCTATGCGAGATGGATGGATAGGTGCTAACGGCTGTACCTTTTATAACGGGCGGTAGCTTGCGAGACCTTACCTAGAAAGTAAAAAACCCAAAGAAAAATTTTACTTTTTCGCAAATTCGCTTCCCTTCTGATATTTCGTGACCTTCATTATGGGGTGCGGGATATTGCCGCGCGCGCAGCTGGCCAACTAGGCAGCGCGCGCGTGGTCTAACGATAATCGCGCTTGCCTCCCACGCGCAAAGGTAGGGTTCGAATCCTGGGAGTGACGTGTCTTTTGTTTATTCCTGCAATTTAGTGTTCTGGAGAATTCGAGAATCATATTGCTTGTTCCAGGCCCCAATGTTCTACGCGTCGAAGTTTCTACGCCGATGATTCCAGAAGACCACTCATGTACATAAGGGGCTCCGCGTGGCGAGCCACGGTCAGTTTTTCACCCAGCGTTTGACTCTGCTGCTACGCCGACTTCGACGCCCGCGACGCTCCGTTATTATCTTTTGTACCCTTTTATTTTTGGCACAAGTTCGCCACATTAGACGTTTATTTCTTTCTGTTTATTATTGTTTATTGGTCACCACCCGTGACATTTCGGTGGAGGTGCGGGGTACCGCATGCCCGTGCAGCGTTCCCCTCCCAGGACCCGCAGTGCAAGCCCGACTCCAAGCTCGCTGAGAAGACCACTCAGCGCGGAACCTGAAACTCGGACCAGCCGCCGCACCAAGGGAAGGGATCCGGAGTACGGTTTGCTGCTGGACAAACCCAAGCCGAAGAAGACGACGATGGACAACCAGTCGCAGGCCCCCGCCGCTCCTGCCGTCGTCTACCTACCCGTCGCTCCTCGAACACCGGCTCCCTTCCACGGCGAAAGCCACGAAGACATCGACGACTGGGTCCAACAGTACGAACGAGTGGGCCGTCATAACGGGTGGACACCGGAACAGTGTTTGCAAAACGCTTACTTCGCCTTGGAAGCCACCGCCCGGAACTGGTTCGAGAACCACGAAGCTTCGATCACTTCCTGGGAGCAACTCAAGGCTGAGTTGCGAAGAACGTTCATGAACCAAACGCGAAGAGAACGCGCGGAAGAGCTTCTTCAAGCGAGGATTCAAGGCCCTAACGAGAGCGTCGTTAGCTTCGTGGAAGATGTCCTGCGACTGAGCAACCGCGCCGATCCCGAAGCATCCGAAGCAAAGAAGCTCAGAGTCTTGATGCGTGGCGTCAAGGAAAACATTTTCGGGGGTCTTGTGCGGAGCCCGCCTACCACCGTAGAAGGCTTCATGACGGAGGCCACCAACATCGAACGTGCCCTTCAAGCACGAGCCTCCCACTATCACCGAGTTCCCGGCGTCGGTTCCTTTTCGCCTTCCGGCTGCAACACCACGGACATCCACGAGATGATCCGAGACGTCGTCCGGGAAGAGATCAAGAAACTTCTACCTGCCACCGCAAGCCCAGCTTCGCCCTCAATCGCCGAGATTGTCAGGCAAGAAGTCCAGCAAGCGCTGCAGCCTGAGGTTCTCGTCAGCACCGCTCCGGAACCACCGACGTTGAGTTACGCCGCAGTGGCCCGACGGCCACCGCCTCTTCGTCGCACCTATGTCACGCCGCCCCGACGTCAGTCTCCTGCGCCGCAGCACGACCGACGCCACGACGACCAGGTCCAGTACGCCTGCCCGGAGCCTCACGCACCCCGCAAGACCGACGTGTGGCGAACGCCCGACCGACGCCCTCTGTGCTTTCATTGCGGGGAAGCGGACCACACCTACCGCCGATGCCCATACCGACGACTCGGGCTACGCGGGTTCCACCCGAACTACCCGCGTCCCCGTCATGGTGAACGCCCTATCGAGATCGACGAGTACCTGCGACGACCTCAGTCCCCCGAGCCTGCGTCCCGCCGAGAGTTCCGGTCGCCGTCACCGCGACGTCCAGCTTCGCCGATGCACCGACCACGACGTGAAAGCCTGTCCCCCCTTGCTCCTCGCCGGGGAAACTAGGCGCGGCAACCCCTGGAGGTGGAGTTGCCGAAGACGACCGACGCCAAGATCCTCCACTCGAACGCTACCAGAGACCAAAACGACGCCGCTGCAGTGGTGTCCAATAACCTAAACGTCGTCATCGACGGCCACGAC